GTGTTAAAAACATTATTTATTTTTACATTTTTTATAAAATCTTACTACATAAAACTATAATTAATGTACTCTTAAAAATAAAGATTAGAAAATCTACTTTAATTTTAAAGATTTTGTTAAGGGCATAAATTATAAATACCATTAATATTAGAACAATCCCTTATATTAAAGTTTTTCTCTTATTTAATAATTTTTATTTTATAATTTAATACAATATAAATTATAAAATAAAAGCTTCTTTAAAAATTTGAGATATTTTCTATTGCTAAAGATAAGTCAACCGGTGGCCAATATGACATCCTTGCTTGGACTGAATGCTGGTTATCTCCCCTTTTTGTCTTTTTCAATTGAGATTTTTTATTCTAGAGGCGTATGGGTTGCTCTTGTTTCTTTTTCTTTTTCTTTTTCTTTTTCTTTTTTTTCTTTTAACTTTTTATGTTTAGTCAACCCGTCTGTTGAAATCCGTGTCCAATATCAACCCGTGTCTAATATCCTCACATGTTTGCTTTTGTTGTTGAGATCGTTACAATTTTATAGGATGTTCTCGGAAGGGACGTTGTTGAAATCGTTCGATGATAATTTATCAGGTGCTTGAGGATGGCGTTCTAAACCCGGAAACAACAGTGATGTCGACATTCCCAACTTCCATATATTATTCATGCCTAACTGAAATCCAGTGGCGTGGAATATACCTCGGTCAGAAACAATAGTGCTGTCGACGTTCCCGACTCTCGTATATTATTCATGCCTAACTGAAGTCCAGTGGCATGAAATATATCTTGGATAAATATAGGGGCTAACTTTCACATTTTGGTAGAAACCCTGCTGGCATGGTTCATTAAGTCGAGAAAAGAGATTCATATGATGCTTGATATCATGGAACAAGGTATTAAGCACGGGCATGGCTTTGGGACTTAAGTGGTTAAACATACTTCCTTTCAAGGTACACACAGTATTCAGAATGATTCATTATGTCAACCGAAACTACGGCATTGCTGTTAGGAATTTCGAACACCACAATATCACGCAAACGGAAGTGATAAAAGATATTGAGACAACAATTTAACATGATTCAATTTGTACACTTCTCAAGAAGTTTAATTACGTTCACGGGAAAAAAATAAATAAATCCACTATTAAAAAATAAGTACAATAATTTAAAAGTTCTCTCACTTAAGAAACTCTCAATATCTTAATTTCAATATATAGAAACTCTCAAATTCTCACTAATATTCTCTCTTAATCTATACAAGGATTTTTTCACAATTTTTCTCTTTTTTTTCTCTCACAAGAGCTCTCACTCAATTCCTCTTGCTTTCCCCCACTCTTGCTTGCTCATTGTCTCTGCATGCATGGGTATTTATAATGAAAAATCCAACCACCCATGCAACCTTTGTCTTTGCCTCATTACCACCTGTCCAAGATTTTCTTTACTCATTAAATGGGTCAACATGCAATCTTGAAAGATTTCAACAAAGCAATATAGCCCACAATTGGCTTATAGGCCGGTGAAGCAAACTTTCACATGGAAAGTCTATGTGTTCACATGCATGGGGTTGGACTTTCTACCAACAACTGCAACAGTCACATAAATATGTGAAATTGTTGATCCTTGTCAATTGATTCTTATTCAGGTTGCCGCATTTGTAAGAATTAGGGCACATGAAATTATTTGATTCAACAGTAGTTCAAAACTTCTTCAAATTGGGCACCAAGGTACCTTTTCTTCATATAAAAATAGAAGTCATGAAATAGTTAAATAATTTTATTCATGGTAATTAATCTATTTTTTAAGCTAATTACATCTAATTAGGCTTGCATGCATTTTGTCGATGCAAACACTTGCATAGAAAAAGGAAAATACTTCTAAGATTCATGTTGCTTCAGCGGTTGGAAACTACTTATCAAATGTTCCAACATTTCTGACACTTGTCAGGAATGATAAATTTCTAGAAGGCAGAAGCTATTCTAATAATAACCAGGGCTTGCGCTGAGCCATTATGTTTTACCTTTGTGAGCCTCTAACTGGTTTAAACCCTGAAATGAAGAATTTATTCTTCTCCAGGGCACGTTGCATATTGATTTTTGGTAATGCTTTTATTCACATTCAAGCCAAAATTAATCATGTTGGTTGAAATGTTTCCTATGTCGAACAAATCAGGTTATTTTACACCTGTAAGAAATGTTTCCCATGCAGTCTGTATTCATGAAGAATGGAGGGAAATTGAATCGAATTACAGATATATGCAGGCAGAAATTTAAAGAATGAATGAATTTTTGAAGTCTTATATGTGTTCCCAGAGATAGTTGAAAATAGGTCTCCCTGGCACTGGTATGCACTTGACAATCCAACCAAGGGGCCAAGAGACAGCAGCTATGGCTAGGCAGGCAGCCCATTGTTCCCAATTCAACCTCTCTGTGTCGGCAAACTGCTTCAAAAACTCCACCATGACCACCTGGAGAAAAATTGTTAACCCAGCAATTACCAAAAACCTTTTGTTCTTCTCAATGCCCTCGAATATGTTCTTCTTCTTGAGCTTCCTAGCATTGAATTCATTGAAAACTTGGCAGAGCACAAACGTGTTGAAGATCAAGGTATCATTTACGGCCTCTGTCACACCGAGGATTAATTTCCCTTTGTATTGAAGCGTCAGGAGCACTGCTATCTGGTAAAAAGCTTGAGTTAGGAGGTTTCTCCACATGATGTTGGTAATGAGTGGCTCCTGGCCAACCGGTTGCTTCTCCATCGGCCCTGCCGTGGGCTCCTCTGTAGCCAGAGCCAGAGCACCCAATGGGCCCGTGATCAAGTTCACCCACAACAACTGGACAGTCTCTAAAGGAACTTTGCTCGAAGATATGGCTGCCACGATGTTGATGACTAAAGCAGCAACGTTTATGGTGAGTTGGAATTGGATGAATTTCTTGATGTTGGTATAAACACATCTTCCCCACCTCAAATCTGTGGCCACATTTTCAAAATGATCATCCAAGATGACAGTGTCGCGTACCTCAGGATCGTTTATACCGGCGACTGCAACTACGTGTCCTTTATCTTTCGGGCATTGCAACACAAGACGTTTCCTACTAGGAGATGCTCCTGCCACGACGCAGATTTTGTCGATTATCTCCTTCCCCTGCTCTGATGTATATTTCCTGATGAATTCCTCGGCTTCCATGACAGCACTACTTTCCATTTCCTCATCCGGTTGGAGAATCCCACACTTACTAGCTATAGCTTTTGCAGTTAAGACATTGTCACCGGTGATCAATTTGATGTTCACGCCGGTGTTCTGTTTGCAATCTTCCACGGTTTGCCTCACCCAATCCTGGCATCGGTCCTCAATGCCCAACAATGCTAACAGGATCAAGTTTTCTTTTTCAAGCCTTTTCCTCTCTTTTAAATCTTCCTCAACTGCTTCTTCAATAACTTGTTTGTGGGCCAAAGCAATGCACCGGAGACCTCTCTTCACCATTTCCTGAATATTTTTCTTGAATTTCATCCTTTCTTCACGGTTAAGATGTTTCTTTGTTCCAGAGGCATCATAATAGCTTGAGCACATTGCTAGAATCGTCTCTGCTTCTCCTTTCCAATGAACATGAATTGTGTTATCTTCTTTCTTCTTGACCAGAACACCACTCCGTTTCTTCTTGGAATTGAAAGCTTCTGTAAATAAAATCGTAAAATTCTGCTTTAATAACTCCATCTCCATCAGTGGGGAAGCCCAAGAAAGAATTGCCTTTTCAGTTGGACTGCCTGAGAATTCGAATTCGGCCCCTGAAGAACTTCTATAAACACCACCGGTGGTGTTTAGAGCAACTCCTTGATGGATCAAGCCAGAAATCAAAGAAGAAGCAGAAAAATCAACCTCATGTGTGGATTCATGTCCAATCCAAGACTCCTGCACCTTCATCTGGTTAAGCGTAAGAGTACCGGTTTTGTTGGTGACAATGATGCTGACAGAGCCCGCAGCATCGAAAGCAGAGGCCACAACCTTCATTCTCTCCATGGCTTTTGCTAGTGTGAGCTTAACAATCAAGGGTAAGCTTTCGGGGACCACAACACTGACAATAATAGCCGCAGCAGCAACAATCCCTTTCACAGCATTCACTACATTGTGCGCTTTCGTCTTGCTGTTGTCTTCTGTGTTTTTATTCTTGTCAATTCCATTGTTGGTGAAGTTATTGACAACAACAAGTAGTATAAGAATGATGTCACTAATCTTACGCACGGACCGCGCTAGCTTCTTCACTTTGATTTGCAGAGGTGTGTGGTCGTTCTCAACAGATTTTTTGCTCATCATTTGCTTCCAGGTGGTGTTCATTCCAACGGAAGTGACGAGCATCCGAGCATTCGCATTGGCCACCTTCGTACCAGATACCATGAATGGATTTTGCCTTAAATTCTCCTCATCATGATCATCCTTCCATGTCATGCTTGATTCCACTACCTGCAGAGAATATCCAGGAACAAACAACCCATCTGCTGGAACTTTGTCACCGATCTTCAGGCAAACAATATCCCCGACGACTAAATCAAAATTTTGAACCTTTTTCCGTTGACCGCCTCTAATGACATCAATTTCAATATTGTTGCTGATTGGAGACATTTCCTCGAACTGCCTGGTCTCCCTGTAGTTGCTGATGGCAGAGATAGCGATGACTAAAAAAGCGGCAACGAATATGCTTCCACCCTCAATCCACCCTTCTCTCAGGCCATGCCCCTTGATGCCGAACCCAAGGGAAAGTGCTGCGCAGGCGAGGAGGATCAAAACAGTGAGATCTTTGAAAGCCTCCACAACAAAAGGGTAGAAACTCAGCTTATTGTATGTGTTGAAGCCAAATGCTATCTGTCGCCGAGTAAGATCGTCATCATTGCCTTTGATTCCATCGTCCGGGCTGGTTTCCAGAGAAGAAGCTACTCCGTTGACGCCGCCATGTTTTTGAAGCTCTCCTAGATTTTTCTCCTTGACAAGTCCGCTGAGAGTGGTCTTGTCAATTTTGAGAAATGCACTTTCCTCCGCTGGAATTGAGATTGCAACTTGAGAAGGAACTTTTTGAAACTCTATTAGATTTTTCTCCCTGAGAGGGTCAGTGAGAGTGGTCTCAACAATTCTGAGGCGATTGTTTTCCGAGGGAATTGTGAGAGTGACATGAGAAGGAATGGGCGGAACCTTGTTCCTGGCGATAGATAACAGAGTTCTTGTGCAATAGAGGGTAGACAAAGCAACATGCCAGGTTTTTTTACGTGTCTTGAGGGAGACAGGGGCATCAAGCAAAGGCTCAGTGCAGATTTTGGGTGCTTTGTTGTGAGTAGCAGACATGGAATCAGATCTGCAAGAATAAATTGATGAAAAAAGAAGGAAGAAAATCCTTTTGTGAAACAAGAGCAAGAAGTGGTATGTTGGCGAAAAGGATGTGCACTGAACGCATATTATATAACTCTTAAAAATCCGTGTTTATTCGTCATATGAAACTATGGAGAAGTTGCTTTTCCTGTTTCGTGGAAAGGTTATGAGAAGGAAGTGGCTGGAAAATCTTGGTCGGTTCCCACCATTTAACCACCTAACATGCATTGACACATTGGTCGCTTGCATTTTTGTTTAGAGGAAAATGAAAAAAAAAA